GGACTAAATCAATTGCGTATTGGATATCACGCATCGGGGGTAATTGGTCCGGGAGGTCCTCAGGGAAGACGTCGGAAAATTCTTCCAACACAGTAATGACTTCTGGGAGAGCCACGTTAGAAATATCCTTCGGAGCTTCTCTAGCGGCGAGGGCGAAAATAGGAGCTCCGTTGGCCAGTTCGCGATCAATCTCTTTAGCTCCAATCAGGTTAACGCCTTGGGAAGACTTGTTTGGATCGGGCTTCTTGTCATTTCCTTTCGGTTGAATCGGAAGGATCTTGACCTTCTTCCTGTCATGCTCAAACAATAGCATGTTGGATCGCCCAAAGATATGAACATCGTTATCAAATAACCAAGGCCTTCCAAGAATAACTTGACCCACATCCATTTTCAGAACATCGCACCAAACTTTGTCCTTATAAATGGCAAATTGAAGAGGGACTAGACATCTCTCTTGGACATTGAGTGCGGTGTCGTTAATCCATGATACCTTGTATGGATTAGGATGGGATACAACCTTAAGGCCAAGCTTAGCGATCACAGCTGAGGAGATCGCGTTAATACAACTTCCACTGTCCACGATCACTTTACAATTTTTATCACCAATCTTTGTGAATGTATGGAAAATGAAAGTACGTCTCCAATCAACAGCCTTGGGTTGAGAGATGACGCATCTGACAACTAATACGGTAGGAGTTTCAATTTGCCTAAGACAACCTAAGCTAGTATCATCTGCATCATTCTCGAAATCATCGGTATCATCGTCAACTTGATGGACAAACTCATCACTATCAGGTTCAGGTTCATATTCGTATTGTCCATCGATGATAGCCACCTTGTGACAGGTCGGACAGTTCGCAGAAACATGCCCATACCCTTGGCATTTGTAGCACTTGACGTGAGCGCCAATCTTGGAGAAATCTCTCTCCGGTTCCTTGCCTTTGGGATTGACTTTAGACTGGGAAGAACTAGGGTTAGATCGACTCGGAGGATGACTAGAAGTAGTGGCACGGGAAGGTTGGGAGGAATGATTTCTAAAATCCTGACTCCTATAAGATTGATGGGATTTTGATTCATCTAGATCCTGAACTAACGCGTAAGCTTTTTCAAGGGTGTCTACTCCCCGAGCAAAGAGTTCAGTTTGCAGATTATTTCTCAATCCAGCTCTAAATTTCGACAAGATTTTCATTGGTGCCTCTTGTTCAATGATGTTGTATTGAGTGAACAGTTCGTCAAATTGTGCGACGTAGTCTTTCGCAGATTTGGTTCCTTGAGTGAGGCGATGCCACTTATCTAGCAATCGATGATAAAATGATGGCGGAAGGTATTTCTGTTTAAGTTCGTTGGTCATTTCTCGCTAAGTTGTAATCGGTAACTCACCTCTAATGTGTCTCAACGTTTCGAGGTTGGTCCAATATTGGCAAGCAGGTCCAGTAAGTTTCATTGCGGCGAACTTAACCTTTCGGGGTTCTGTAAGGGCGTACCAATCAAAGTAACGATCCATACTCTTCAGCCAGTCCAAGAAAGCTTGTGGGTCGAGCTTACCGTTAAAGGTAGGTGCACTGACCTTAATACTCCTCAAGTATTGCGCATCCGGATCAGGTACATGTTGCTATGGGGGGCGCTGAACGATGTTTCCATAGCCTTGACCTTGCAGCGATGGGGCGATATGTTGATAACCTTGATCTTGCGACGGCGGGGTTGCAACACGTGTTTCCTCGATCCTAGCGATCCTTTCATTGGTAGCTCTACTCTCTTGGGCTAAGTTACCACTGTTCCTGCTAGCTCAGCGATTTGCTTAAGAATTTCGGCGAACTCGGGATTTGCACTGCCTGACATGCTGGACTCACTAATTGACTCACTTGATTCTCCTAATCGATAGTGTAGACCCGTGCAAGTGGGCATGCGCTAACAACTAGATGATATGAATGGGTGCACAAATATTAAATGAGATGACTAATAATTTTTTTATATATATAATAAAGACTCACAAATTTCCTAACCTAGAACCAAGTTCTCTGATACCAAAAATGATGCGAAACAATGTGATGCAGGTATGAAGATTAACGACAGCAATGCTTCACCAAATCAACGATCGATCTAGGCAGGAAGCTCAAGAATAAAGTGTAGCTTTCGATGAGTTTTAAGCAAAAGTTGCAATGTACTAAGTTCAAATCTTTTTGTAAATTATCCAGAAAATAAATGTAATGATTCGTTCTCTTAATACAGTTCAAATTGTAATATTTAGAGAAGCAGAAATACTTAGCAACAGATTCGCTTGCTCACTTAGTCAAATTGAATACAGCACAAGTACGATCTATAATAATATTGATAACAACATGCACGCAATAGCAGTTCCGAAAATATTTGGGCGAAAGAAAGTTAAACCTTCGTCGGGTTGAACTGGTTCGACGGGAGGTTCCTCTGGGGTGGTTCGTTTACACCGAAGATGAGGGGAGGAAGTTCTCCTCCGAGAGCCATGTAATTGGGATGTAGTGGCGCGTCTGGACTGAAACGCTTATAAAACGAACTGATGCCTAACTGGGCTTCCACACTACTGACAATCTGATGAGTCACGCGTTCGACGTATTCGGGCACAGTCTCGAACATCTGATAGTCGAACCACGGGGAAAGCTGTAAATCCACGATGCCAGTCTCTGGATCTAGCACGAGCCCGTAGTCTTCAGCATCGGGGTCAGCCATACACTGACAAAGCACATAAAATCAGATCCAATCTCGACAACAATAAGGAGAGGAGACAAAGTTGTCTCTGTGGGAGTACTGTTCACAGAATACAATGACAGGAACAAGGAGTGGGTTCTGGAATTATTCGAGTGGAAGGAAAACAAGAGAGGGTGAACGGATCTGTGGAGGAGAGAGGGGAAACCGATGGTGGGGTTTGTTGATGAGAGATAGGGGGACAGAACAGGGAGTGGTGGTGGCATCGGCAAGAGGTGCGCTGGTTCGCGTGGTGTGGGGTGCGGTTGGAATTTTGAAGAGGAAGGCGGGTTGGTCTGGTGCGCGGTTGCAGGGGAGGAGCGGAAGGAAGATCGGAGTGAGGGAACGCGGGAGACGGCCCACGGAAGCGAGCGAAGGTTGGGCGGTGCTGGTCGGTTGTCGGAGGAAGGGGACTCGAAGGTGGGGTTAGGCGGTGAAGGAGGTCAGAAGGTCGACGGATTTGAAGAGAAATTGGAAGAGTTGATGGGTTCTTTGACGTGAGATGAGGGAGGAAGACGAACAGTGCGATTTTTGATTTTTTTTCTTTTATTTTCTTTTGTGGGGAAGAGAAGTGACGGCTGGTAACAAGAAATCAATTAAGCTTAGGGTTTCACACCATAATTAAGCAAATCAATTTCATTCACCAATATCCCATACTCTGAATACAAGAGTACTTAAATAAGAATTACAGATTTAGAAAATTATCTAAATCCCTCAAATCTCTCCCCTAATCAATTACAACCAATCACTGATTAACTACCAAATAAAAGAAACTAAATATTCGAAATTCGAAATTCAAATTCTAATTAATTATTACATCTAAATTCAAAACCATAATGCTGAAATATTGCACCTCCTGCGCTGATAAACTCGGCGAAAATCTCGAGCACGCGTCTAAATGTCCTCATCACCATCGCTACCGAGAAGAACCTAGTTTTAAACAAAGGGGAGAATTCAGATCATTCTCTTCTCTTTTGTAATCGGGAAATCCAATTGTAACTGAGATTAAAGGAATACAAATCAAATTTTCTTTCGTTTCTTTTACTGCAATTTTTTCTCACAAACAAAAGATATGTGTCGTATTTGGTGCGTATCGGGTAGGGCTACGGCTTCATGATATAAGTACCCAGGTAAAATAGATTCCGAGGGAGCATGAGGGTTTTGACATGATTTGTAATATGATGCAAGTACCCAGGTAAAATAGACTACGAGGGAGTATAAGAGGGTTTTGACATACTTTGTATTTTCTTACATATGCATCATGAATGTTTTAAGTAGGGAGGGTTCTATTGGCAAGTTGCATAAACTCACGGTCTAGAGTACCTTTAAGTCCTCTAAAATTCAATGTAATCTGGATAAGATTAATGTTAACATAGTCTGTTTGCACTTATAATCTAGAAGGTGCCTCTGAAACGATAAGTTCAATATGCTACGGTAAGCAGTTCATATTGTAAGGTGTGTTAGAATCTAAATTCTGTGTGTTTATCTGTATTTGTTTTTAGGCTATTTAGGTATGATGGTTCATGTTTAAACTAGTGGATTTTAAATTTTTATCCTCCAACTACTTTCGAGTTCAGGGAATTGTGTTTCAGGTCATATAACTGGGAGAGCGAAGTACATAAAAATACATTCAGACACTTACGTTTTTGCGTGTGGAAATCAAATTTCATATCCCCGGCAAATGCAAGCAGTATAGTACAAATCTTGTGTGCGCTTTGCCAGGCTACAGTGTTAGCTTCTCAAATTGTTAACAAAAACAAGTTTATGTTAACATAAACTGTTTGCATTCCTAGAAGGTGCCTCTGAAGTCATAAATTCAATATGCTACGTTAAGCAGTTCATATGGAAAGATGTTACTTTATTTTAGAATCCAAATCCTGTGTGTATCTATTTGTTGTAGCCTTGTAGGCTATTTAGGTATGAGGGATCATGTTTAAACTAGCGGATTTGAAATTTCTATCCTCCAACTATTTTCAAGTTGAGTGAATTGAGCTTCAGACCATATCACTGGGAGAGCGAGATACATAAAAATACATTCAGACATTTAAGCTTTTGCATGGGGAAATCAAAATTTATATTATTCCTTGCAATCACAATCACTATAGTAGAAAAACAAGTGTGCATATGCATGTAACTCTGTCCATACCAATGAATTAACGATTATCTATAAGTTATGTATGATTTAGTCTTGAATGATGCTCTCAATTTGGGACGCCAGTTAGTTATGAAGTTATATCATGATTGCACACTCTGTTCCAACTCTTAACAAAATTCATTTACAGGATGCAGGTGAAGCCATCATCTCAACCAATTATTGTCTCTATCCCAATCTGCCATTCTGATGGTTGGTACTCTGCTTGCCTATGAAATGGATATTGATTTCTTATTTAATGTAAATATAGACAAATTGATCATGTCTATTGACTATTTTCAGCTGTTATTTATGAAGGAAATTGTTTGCTTGAAACTTTTCTTGTAACATAGAATGATTTTGTCTGGTATTTTATAATCACTGACATCTGAAAAGTAGTAATCTAATCGCAGCTAGATTATATGTTTTACCTTTTTTATTTTTATTTTTGACATCCAGATACTGAAACTGCTAGGGCATCTAGGAGACAACTGAAAGATGCAATATACACTGTCCTTTTTGATATGAATGCGCCGGCTGTTTGTGCCATCAACCAAGTAAGTGTTTTAGATGGCATTGTTGTCTCTGTTTGCTTAATCCAGATATTGGACATCCTTGTTTATGTTTATAACCTGCGTGATTGAACTCCGTACTTGTCTCACTAGGAATTAAGTGGACATTTCTGGTATTTATATTGAAAATGTCTGGTGGTAAGGTAGAGGTCACAGAACTCAACCACTCGTTATGCACTCCCCTTATTTAAATGCATTTGCCTGTTGTGCACTTTACGTATATTACATTGAAAACACTGTCCTCTGTCTTTATATCTCTTGTATGTACAATATATCCTCTACCATTAACTCATTAATTCATTGGCCATCCATTCATCATCACTGATATGATACTAGTAGCCCAAAGTCAACTCTTTCGTCATGTTCTCAAATAAATATGCATTTAGCGTGAACCTCATTTTTGTCATGTACGACCTTGAGTCTTAAGTTTGCATTCACATTGTTATCTACAACCATCAAGTTCTAAATTTTGCTGATATAGCATGTATTGTGCATTGCCAAACTCAAAATTTGTGGTCATTGTGTACTACCATATTGCATAAGTACTATGCGCTAACATGTGGATACTTCATTTTGCATCACTTTAGACCCTATTTTCTAGGAAATTAGTTGGTTTCTTATCAGCGCTTTCTGCTGGTCTATGGGAGAGATATATATGACAAAGTTAGAATGTTCTTGAGGAAGTTTCATGGCCACCACAATACTTTGTGAGGAATTTATTTCATAGTTGTTTTTATTATGCTTTTGAACTTGTAACCTCTTTGGCACATGATATGTTTTATCAAGTCTTCTGCAGTTCTTCTCTTCCCATTAAATATCTTGTGCACCCCATAATACTCTTACCATTGTGCACTGCATGGAAATAATGCTTCCTTTGTATATTAGTCCTCCAAATCACAGATTCACACATGATATGGTAAAATTTTCAAGTTATGTGTGACTTGAAGGATGGATTCTAAATAATACTACGAAGAGAAGTGCTCCTAACTCACAAGACTGCAATGCTTAAAATATGAAATTTCTTGCTGATTAAAAAAAGTACAGGATCCAAATTTATAAAGTTGACAGTTCAGGTAATGGTAATTCTAGCGTCTAGCATTCCTTCAAACTCTTGATGTTGAAAGGTATCAGCCACTAGGGCTAACTTTCTTGCTGATTAAAAAAGTACAGGATCCAAATTTATAAAGTTGACAGTTCAGATAATGGTAATTCTAGTGTCTAGCATTCCTTCAAAATATTGATGTTGAAAGGCATCAGCCATTAGAGCTGCAATAGTGACAAGACTTGTCTGCTTTGATGGAAAACTCAGGATATAAATACTTATAGTTGTAGGCAATGTTCCAAAATGCGAATCATGCTGCAGGCTATGCATATGCCATGGGACACTACAGTCTTATCCTTCATTAGGCAGTTATGAAAAAAGTAGCAAGCAGCAGCAACTGTGTAAAAACTATGTGGTTTGCATAATTATTATGCACCCACATATGTTGCATTGATTATCGAGAATTAATTTTGACCTGACATTAAACCGCGTGAACTTAAAGAATGCTAAATCACATCTCTCTCTTTAAAAATCAACATTCCTCTTCCAGACCCCCTTTCTTCAATATTGACTGTTTAACTTAAGTATGTCCTTTGATATTTGTCCTTTTCTCTTATGCTGTATGTTGGAATGACACTTATCACTTGTGTTCTCTTGTGATTATGGGTAATTAGGTATCATGCATATTTTCAGGCATTTAGATAATTAGCTTTTCCATTAGCATCTAATCCTATATGTGTTTTTGGATATTAGTGATTACTATGAATGTTTACATTTTCTAGTTAAGAGCGGTGTATGGAGTGCGAATATGGTCATGCATGTTGTTGCAAGATTCATTCTAACTTAACTGTTTAGTTATATTTGTTTTTGAGTTAGTCATTTAATTTTCTTTACATTTATATTACTTGATAACATTGTTTTAAATATCCCCGACATGGCCCGATATATCCCCGATATATCCTTTTACAGGGCTTGCCGCAACCGATATGGTCTTTAAATATCCTTTACCACTTTTTGGCTATTTTGAGTGATAAATCCCCGATATGGCCGATATATTAGCCGATATGTGGACTAATATATCTTTTTTATATAGCTTGTTGCAAAATAATATACCGTGTTTGGAATTTTTGGGTGAGATATCAAGATTTTCCCATTATATCAAATGATATTTTACCCTAAAAAAAGCAGATCGAATGTTGTAACGTTGCTTTGCACTTTTGTTTGTTTTAGAAGGTTGATTAGTGATCCTAAACATATACTATTCATATTTTGTATGCCTAAATTTCATTACATATGTTGAGATTACATTTTAATGCATTATACTATGTATGCAAACATTCATTATGGCATTCCGATATTTACCACATATCCCCGATATTTTCCTGATATCCGATATTTAAAACCTTGCTTGATAACTCAAGTTAACCCAAATTTGTCATCAAAAGGTTTAGCCACAATGCCTCACAAGTGATACGAGCCATGACCCTAACTTTTCCTTTATAATAGACCTTGCTAATACTGTCTGTTTTTTGCTTCTCCAACTAATCTGATTGTCACCAACAGTACATCAAACTGGTGTCAATATTTTAGATGTCTATGTCATGTGTACATTCCTTCTCGAAGGAAAACCTTGTACATATAGCAAAATCCTTAAAGATACCTCCCAGTGACACTTCTTAGGGTCTCCATGAATTGACTAATCAACATTGTTGTAAATATCCCTGACATGGCCCAATATATTGCCCAATATATCTTTTATAGGGCTTGCCGCAATCGATATGGTCTCTAAATATCTTTTGCCGCTTTTGGTTATTTTGGGCTATATATCCCTAATATAGCCGATATATTGGCCAATGTGTTGGCCAATATATCTTTTTATTTGGCTTGTTGCAAAACAATGTACCGCATTTAGCAATTTTTCAAGTAAGATATAATTTTCCAATTATATCAAATGACATTTTGATCTAAAAAACGTCAAACAAAATGTTGCAATGTTGATTTGTACTTTTGTTTGTTTTACAAGGTTGATTAGTGATCCTCAACATGTTATTTATATTTTGTATGTTTAGATTACATTAAGTATTTTCAGATTACATTTTACGCCTTATACTATATATATATGCAAACATCTGTTATGACATTCCGATATTTACCACATATCACTGATATTTTCCCGATAACCGCAATCCAATATGAATTTTGGCCATTCAATATTTCCCCGATATCCGATATTTAAAACCTTGCTAATCAACAAGGAAATGTCTGGTCTAGTGATAGTCTAATAAATCAACTTTCCAACTAGTGTGTGTACTGAGCCTTGTCTTCTACGACTATCATTACCAGACCATAGGTCAGGATTCTATTCTATAGGTGTTTCACTAGGTTTTTTCCAACTAAAGCGGTCTCCTGCAATAAATTCCTTACATACTTTCTCTAAACGGAACAATTTCTTTCATAACTCACATTTTCTAAGACGGAACAATTTCTTACTCTTGGCTCTTCAATACCTATGAAGTAGCAAGAACGTCCCATGTACAATAACAAAGTTCCTTTAAGAAACTCCTTTGTTTTGTTAATTTCATACACTGTTAGGGGGGTTATTCATTGGTGTAATTTTAGGGGTAAAGGGATAATTTTTGGAATAACAGTGTTTGGTGTTATTCATTGGGGTAATTGGGTATGGATTCAATTGTATGGTGTTATTGGTTTGTTGGGATAAATATGAGACAAATACACTACTTCCCCAAAAATTACCCCACCTATATAAACACTACTCAACCCCACCCTCAAAATTTACCCAATTTTTTTTTCTAGAACAATATGGGAATAAAATTACACCACTTCCATCTCCTCCCTGCGCGCCTCCTCCTTCCCCAAAGAGAACCCACCACCAAGCTCCCAGGGCCGCCTACCCCGCTCGCTTCTCGTCTCCGCATCGCCCACCGAGCCTCCACCTCCGACGCCAAACCCCCTGCTCCTCTTTGCCTAGCCCCCTTCACCGCCTGAGCTCGCCTCCACCTCCTCCCTCTCGTCTCTGCCAGTCTCCGTCGAGGCGGAATCCTAGAGCTTCCTCTACCCCTCGTCGGAATCATGTGGCTATTCTCGCCGTCCGATGGGGTACATCGTCGGAATCCTGAACCCCTCGAATCTAAACCCCAGAGCTTCAGGATCACTAGAGACTAAAAAGATGTGGGTCCTAAAGTTCGGGTTTTGGATAAGAAGGGGATAGATGCGAATTTGAAACCTAATTTGTTGAGGGCCAGTTTGGATGTTGATTTGTGGAAACCTGATGGAAAAGATTCTAGGGTTTCAAAAGAAATTGCTCCCAAATCCATTGAGAATTCCAATGAGAATGGTGTTCGAGCTGTTAGCAATATCCAAGCAAGCTTCATGAAAAGCTTGCTGCACTAGAGGGAAGAGTCCAAAGAATTGCTTTTGACATCAAAAGGACCAAAGAGATGTTGGATTCCAATAATATTATTATATCATTTTTAATATTTTATATTAAAATAATCTTTAAAATAATAATAATAATAATAATATTATTATTATTATTATTATTATTTAATCATTTGATGTAATATCAAGTTAAACTTGAACTTAATTGATCTATAGATATTATATTATAAAAAGATGTCATACCAATTGTTCCACTCAAATTATCTCATTATCCCATTTTATCCCACTTTATCCCACTCAAATTAACTCATTGGGTAAAATTACCCCATTGGAACAATTTAACCCAATTTGCCCCAAATTACCCCAATGAATAACCCCCCCTTAGAATCATAATGCTAGAGGATTCATGTTTAAGAAAAGTAAGAGCCGGTTTGCCATTACAGCATCTAAGAACCCAAAGCCAGTAACTACCTAGCTATAATTTTCAAATTAGGTATGAGGCTTCTGCTAGCGAACATAAATTGCCTTTAGCTTGTGTACTTGT